TTACCGATGTTCCGGTACCCTTTGTGTGCCATACTTTGTTTAGTTGGCTTCCCCATTTTGTGAACTTTTATATTTTTTTCTTTGTTATTCACATATGAAGCATTCACCTTTGATCTCCCTTAGATCTCAGTCAGAAAGTTTCTATCAGCTTCTAAATCTTTACCCCCCCTCCCCCCCAATACGCACTATCTATCCCAGTTATCCCTGTTTTTTAGTCCTGGTATTTATCCTCTAAAACCCCTTATTTATATTGTTTGTTGATTCTCTGCCACCAGATCCCACTAGGGCAGAGTTGCTGTCTCTTTGTCACACCCCTCTATCCCCAGAGACTAAAGCATTCCCAGTACATAAGAGCCTTGAATATGTGCTAATTTTTTATTGGAACAAATAAGTATATAGTGAAACGAAAGTTCAAGGAGAGGGTTCTGAAATCCTTTTCCAGATTGAATGGGGGGTGGGTAGCTGGGGGGGTTAATAAGCTCTTCTTTGATCATTTTTTGATGAACCTAAGAGGACTCATTTTTTAAATGTTTAAATGGCATAACAGACATACTACCTAATTATGTGTGAATGAAAAAGAACTAACTACACACACACACACTAATAGCAATTAAGGAGATGAAATTGGTGATATTGACACTCATTTTTCTAATATCTGGATTTGCAGCTCATATCTCCTTTGTTGTTGTTTTTTAAGTAGGGTCTAAATTGGTTACCTTATAAAAAAAAAAAGCATAGACTCTTTGCACATGGTCAGAGTATGCTATGCAAAACCACCTGCATCAGAATCAGATTATGGGCATGTTAATGCAAATCCCTGTGTGCTGTTTGGAATTGGGACCTAGGAATCTGTGGGTTGCAGCAAGCTTTGCCAGTGAACATCGCACCATAAAGATTTAGGGTCTGCATCTCTAGACTTCACTCTTGAGAAGTGTAGGCCCCATTTCTCATGCCATCCTATCTAATAATAGGCAAACATGGTAATTAACCGTACCTCCGACATGCTTCCCATTGGCTAATCAGGGTGATATGCAAATTAACTGCCAACCAAGATGGCAGCCGGCAGCCAGGCAGCTGAAGCGAACAGGAGGCTTGCTTGCTCCAGTGAAGGAGGAAGCCAAGGTTCCCCGTCTGCCGCTGCTGGGCTCTGAGCTTGCAGTATAAGTAACCATGTTGCAAATATAGAAGCTAAACAATCCTCATGCTTTCAGTCAGCCGGCTGAGCTGGAGTTGCAACAGAGTTTCAATTATAGAACCCAAACAAACCAGAAACCTTGCTTTCAGCAGCCGAGGTCTCAGAGCTGGAGCCGAGGTCTCAGAGCTAAAGCTGGCTCTCAGTTCCAGTGACAGCCATAGAAGGTAAATAAATCCCAGTATAAAAAAAAGAAAAAAAGGAGAGGTTGGGAGCTTCAGTCACCCGCCAGCCTGAAAACGGCCCTCAGCCCCTCACCCAGACTGGCCAGGTACCCCAGTGGGGACCCCCACACTGAAGGGGGTGTGACCAGCTGCAAACAGCCA